CACACTAAACTCAAACTGTGTTTGGAACTTTGGCTTCATTAGTTGTACCGATCATCCGGACAAGCTTCACCACACTGATGTCTAGGTAGGTTCGTCTAGAAACTATTAACAGACTTAATTGCGAGTAAACTTATTTGCTTTGATAATTTTTACCATAGGAGAAGGGTAAAAAAGTCACAATAATTGAAACAATTTACAGAACGTATGGTGGGAAATATAAAGAAATAACTTTCGTCAATGTAAAAGATATCTCAGTTTCTAGTATCCCTATATTTACAGACACTCTTTTACTATTGTTTTAAAAAGTGGCTAAGTCTTTTGTAGCTAACCCAGTTAGCGTTAATCCATTTGCCTCTGATGGGACCATTTGCTTCCACTTAGTTTGGTAGAGGATTTCAACACAAATCGTGTTTGACTCAATAGTTTGTGAAAGTGGATTATTCGCAAATAATTTCTTACAATTAAGTCGATAATTATATGGCTGTTAGCAATTTTTTGCAACATGTTATTTAATAGGTGTGGTTAATTAATATTAATTATATTTACTATGTTTTTTTATGCCTATATTTATTCATAGGCAATCGGTAAGTAGAAATCTCTAACGGATTGTGCGGTTATTTTATGGATTTGTGTGACTAATTTCTTTGTTTGGACTGAATATAATTGGAACTCATGTTCTTTTGTTCAAGAAAATCATAAATAATATTTTAGCTGAAATTGGTAACAGAGTATTATGCCTTAATGATACTCAGAGACGATCTGTTTGAAAAGATAATACTCTCTGATCAAATATCGAACACGTTTGTTCCATAAATATACATTGTAAATGGTGAACAATAACACAGGACAGATTAAAGTCGTAATTGTCACAACAAAACACTATCCCATCAACCACAACAGTCCGTGGTTGTTTGTAGTGCGGCTAGGTGGTATGTTAACTGTGATACAAACCTGATTGTGGTATCGATGTATCGCTCAACTACTCAACGCAATGTCATTAGACTTAAGAGCTCACACAAAACAAAAATATTTGTTTTGCATAATCTTACGGAACGTTTTTGCCGGTTTATTAATATAACCACACACATCTGGAGTTGAGAACACCGTGGGATAGAGTTTACATTAATCAACGATGAACTAACGCAGAATGGATATTGTAGTTGGAATATGGTAAATACAATCTAGCCAAATTGTAAAAATGTGATATGATTAATCGATACAAAGTAGCAAGGCAGGTTTCGTGGGATTGCTCTATGATTTTATTGCAAGGGGTTTTTTTCTGTCTCCGAATTTCCATTAATGTTTTGGTTGTTATAAAGATTGTATAAGAATCTTTGCAAATACGGTAACTACGAAAATTCAATAACTTGGATGATAGGACAAACAACTACTTAATTGAAAGAGGTCTAACTGTCACGGACATTCCATATGTTAGGCTAAAATGATTAGGGCAATTTATTTACACAAATATAATAGAAAATAATTGAAATTTTTGAACACATGGAGAAGAATTATGTATATTTTTTTTGTTGTATCTTACCATACTTTTGTTAGCCTACCGGTATTGCACTAGCTGTTTCCTTCTTTTTTCTCGTTGTTGTTATGTCTCGGTTGCATATTGTTAAATTTTGTTGTTGTTATGTTTTGCACTTCATATTTTACCTGTTGTTGTTATTTATGTGCCATGTTATATGCTGGTTATGTCTTTTGCATGTTATGCCTGCTATTCACTTTCATTCTTATTTATTGCACGTATTTTAGTAGCCTATACCTAATTTGCTATGTTAATGTATGTCATACACTTGAAATGATCCAGCCTATGTAATGTATTTTTGTTTTCTTTTATACTGATTATGTCTTTTGCATGTCATGTCTACTTTCTAATTTATTCTTATTATTGCTGATATTTATTACCTAATTATGCTATGTTTATAAAGTGATTTAATCCTATTTAATGTATATTATAAATGTAAAAATGGTGTTACCGTTGAAAGAATAAATAAATTAATAAAGAATTTTATAGAAATGATAAATAGTGTTACAATTTCACTATTTAAACAGGTTTTTCGTTATTCGCACTAAAGCAATTCACAAATACTGAAATCAGGTTATTGTTTGAAAGAAAACTTGATTGCAAAATATATTTTAAAACCTTTCTGAATAACACGGTTTAAAAAAAATGATAACATTTTTACATTTTTTTACATAATTTCCAGGATCAAGTAGAAGTACAACGTGCACAATAAAGAAAATTACCTTTTCCCACAAGCGTACGCAGTTGGCAGATTTACTAGCCATGTGTTTACATTAGGATTTCCGTAATATGCCAGAGATATTTCTGAAGTTAATTTTCCTATACGTTTTTCTGTAAATAAACGAATTTTATCTCTGTTTCTAAACACATTCTATATCCTAGAAGGTAAAAATGCTTTTAGGTTTGTGATATCCTCTGTGTAAGTGAGTTTGGCAATCATTCTATTGAGCCAATATCAAATAAAGCAATTAAGTAGAGTCGCCACGTTAACTATAAGGATTGATAGTAAAAGCTCAAATTAGTTTGAGAAAACAGATAATAAGGGTATAAGTATAATAAGGGATAATAAGGGTCATTGTCAATAGTTTAGTCTAATTTACCAAGATTATTTCCTGAAACATTATCAGTTAATAAACATATCCTACTTTTAAGTATAACCTAGTAATTAGAGTTTGACAAGTAGCTCACTTTTGATGGTTTAATTATGCTTTAAATATTTATTTTCAACCTGGGTAAAAGAAACAACTTAAAATTACGAGTATAACGTTGCGAATTTAAGAGATTTTATGTTTCCTGGAACGTGAATCGGATAGAAAAAGATTAAACATGAATGAAATAACTAACTGATCACAGTATATCGAAAAGAAAAGTAAAAATAACAGAATCAAGTGAAATGCAATATTTATTCAAATATGAGTGCTTGTTTTATTGTTAAGCTGTATAAGTAAAAAAAATACTAACTTACAAATCACGTTATCTCAAAAGAAATGTAAATACATAACAGCATTAAGTGATGTGCAATATTTTTAAAATATTCTTGTTTGCTGTCGTTTTGAGCTGCACGAACGAATGGATAATTTTACCAACTTAGTTTGTGAATATTCGCTGTAATTCAATTCAATTCAATTATTTAAGATGGGGACGCCACTATGTGCGTATTTTAGCCCAAATATGAGTGAAGGATGAGTGTAGGATGAAAGGCGCGATCTTGTAGTCTTGTTAGTGACTAAGGCCGACATGTTCCTTAGACACAGCGGTTAATTAATAGCCCATACAGCTAATGGCAACTAAGGGACCTACAGTTTATAGTGGAATCCGAACCACATTTTTCCTTGTAATTTACGAATTGGTCTAATTATCAGGATAATACTGCGGATAGTCGTAGTACTCACTAGTGCGGACGTTAATCCACACCAGGGAGCATCGCATCCACAGTGCATCCCTATAAATATCCACAATTCGTGACCTCCCAGTAGCTGGATTACAGGACGACGCCACCCGTCCCAGTCACACGAAATTGTTTACTAATCACGGTATCTTTGACCTCTCCGTATTAGAAATACGACGTTGCAGTTCATTTGTGTTATAAAGAAGATCTGTTGTGTTCATCTTCCAACATCCGACATCCTGGTGTTTGAGAAGCCAGACTCTACGATGACCATGCTCGTGGAAACTAAAGCAAGCGAAGACAGTCATGAGAATATATTCAAGCCGGACTCATATTTTTGTTCTTTTCGTAACCATACGAGAATATAATTTCTTATAAAGAATTTTTAAACAAAATAAATTTAAAAATAATTTAGTGAATACTGTTGTCTAGCCCAAAGGTATTAGCTCAATCATTCCCATATATGAAATGAATAAAAAAGTGGCCTTGTTAACAAAATAAACAAATAAAACAGTTTTCATCACTGTTACAACAATGGTTACAATGGCCGTCTGATGCGGCTGGTTAACCATTAACCAGGACAACTAAAACACTTTTAAACGCAAGTATTGTTGTATAATATCATCCACTTCGTCAAACTGTTGAGGCAGACACTATTTGTGTTGAAATCCTCTACCAAACTAAGTGGAAGGCAATGATCCCATCAGAGTCAAATAGATTAACGTTAACTGGGCAAACGGGACTAACTTCTGATGAATTTGGAGTAACAATTTCCCTAAGGATTACGGGAACAAAAGACTTTTTTATGGCATCAATTATATACTGTAGCTACTTTATTTAAAAATTGAATTTGTAGTAAAAAATTTAAAAGATAGAAGACTTACAAATTGATTTATATTTTGGTATTATTTAAATACAATAAATTTAACGCAGTGGTTGATCTAAGCAAACCGATTTACAAAAGTCATAATTCTACTAACAAAATATACCAGTAAATATCAAAACGCACAAAACAAACTTGACTGTAAACAGCACTTACTCCAAACAAACTTGACTGTATGGGGTAGAATAATTCTACCTTTTATTCGTTACAAATAAGATTCATCCCAAAAAACACTTAAATCTAAAAACACCTTAAAAGTAAATGCGACAATTAGATTTTTTTAGAAATCGAAGCCTTACATCATCTACGTACTCGATCGGCTCAGTTCAACATATCCTTCGAGCACTCTGGTTAAGTCGTCTCTCGAATTTTATTCCGCAAGCGATTATCATAGGCTCCAACTGAACTTTCAACTGAGTTAGCTGATTAACTTAGAGAAGAATTTTGGATCAGAATTACATAAGCAATCTAAAGACACTTAGGTCTACCACGTTAAACTGGTTTTACTGTTAAACTTTGTCACTACTTTAGAAGGTATATTGCAACCGTGTAAGAGTTGCCTTTAGTTGATTGAAATTTAACTGCTGGATTAGTTCCTGTGATAACGATACTATGGGTGGATTAATATTGTTTCATTGATGAGCAATAATAAAACCCATTGTTTTCTTTAGTGCGATACTTTACTAGCGATATCAGCAACGATTTTCTTCCGTTTCAGCTAGTTGTGTATACAGTAGTAAAAAAACTACTACCATTTTCTTTTAAGGTTCAGTTGCTAAAACGTATTATTTAAAATTTAACTAATACAGGGTGATTTGTACTCAGTGTGACAAAAATTTTTTGGTGTAAGTACAAAGTAAATGAAGTGTGATGATGCATATCAAATGTTCCAAGTCTAAAAATTAGCTTCCCAAAATATTATTTTATGTTTTTAAAAAATAACCATGCTTTTAAACTTAATACAGCGATTTCTCAATTACCTGTATATGGATTTGAGTAGATAATGTCATTTTCGTGTTCTAAATTAAATTTTGAACAAGAATAGTAGAAAATGAAAGAGGATCAGTTGTAAAAACTCCATTGTAAATAGATTTAAAGATAAAAATTTAGATGTTTGATAAAAATTTTAAAAACAATGGTCTATTGCATTTTTCACACCCTGTATACAAGAAAGTTTCGGAATATGTTAAAAACTGCGCCATTTTATAAGCTTTCCAACCATATGCTTTACTATTGAGGTTTAGATATTTTTTTGTTTGTTTTAGGGGGTTGACTACCAGAAAACAGGGAACTTTTTTACTGTTTTTACTGTTCAAGCTGAATCAAAAATACAACTTTTGCTTAATACATGCCGTCTTTCTATGTTTTAAATGTTAAAGACACCATGCTTTGTAGTCTTCAAACCACTAAAGCGTACATAAGCAGACATAAAGCTCAATGGTGTAGCATATGGTTGGAAAGCTTATAAAATGGCGCAGTTTTTAACATATTCCGACACTTTCTTGTATACAGGGTGTGAAAAATGCAATAGACCATTGTTCTTTAAATTTTTATCAAACATCTTAATATTTATCTTTGAATCTATTTACAATGGAGTTTTTACAACTGATCCTCTGTCATTTTCTATTATTCTTGTTCAAAATTTAATGTAGAACACGAAAATGACATTATCTACTCAAACCCATATACTGGTAATTGAGAAATCACTGTATTAAGTTTAAAAGCATGGTTATTTTTGAAAAACAAAATAATTTTTTTGGAAGCTAGTTTTTATACTTGGAACATTTGATATGCATCATCACACTTCATTTACTTAGGAACTTACACCAACAAATTTTTGTCACACTGAGTACAAATCACCCTGTATAGTTTATTAAACATTACTATGGCTTGAAAAGTAGAATCGTATGTGATATAAACTATAGGACAAACATGGTTATACATCTAGCTAAAAGTTGATGTAGTAGACTAGCACTATTTCATATCTGCTTTCTATTACAGATAATTGCCACTAGGTGAGTTTTTTATTTTGCGCGTCGGTAGCATCACGGACTTGGGCCCAAAGCAGCGATGTCGTGGGTTTGGAACTTGGCAATACTTTTATCAGTACCGGCTCACCCCTCACTTTGTTGGATACTTTAACCGAGAGGCTTTTGTGGTCCATGACAGAAATATTCAAGGTAAATGAGGCCGCAAACTTCAATAAGGTTTTGTAAATACTTCAAGAAGGTAAATCAATAATAATGTACTCCTGATTTAAGATAAAACTATTAAAAAACAACGTTGATAATTTTTTTTACAGATAAACTGTTAGGTTACTAATAGACGTAGTTAGAAAGAATCATTAGTAACAAATAAAAAAAAGTAAATTTTTCTACATTTATGAAACACAAAATACTAATGAAGAATAGTATTGAAAAGATTTATGGAAAACACAAAAAGTACATGACTTTTTTAAAGATGGTAAAGCATACTAATACAACATTTACTACAGCGTATGATGGACGCCAAAGTGTTAAGAAGCTTCTCCAACTTAAGCTTGTTAAGAGCTAATTACGAGGAAAGGAGTATCAAGGGACCAAACAAGAAGTGAGCGATCTCATCAATTATGGAGATTCGGTTAGGTGAAAACCTTCATACACTTTGTTTGAAGCCTAGAAAGCTTGAATCCTAACTATTGTGGACCCCATTTGTGTACATGTAAACAAAATAACAAATGATCAAGTTTTGTTGCTTTATACCTTTGAATTCACGTTTTTTAAAGTAATATTTGTATATATGGTGTTTGGTAGGCAAGTTGAAATGACCTGTAGAATGTTAAGAATTGGTTACTACTTTATTACTCTTGTAATTGATCGTAGCAAGTTACCCTCAGAATCTGAATCGAGCAAAAAAAAACTTGACACCACAATGTTACGATCAATGGAATTAAGGTAAGCTGATAGTTATAAAAATATGATTCCTTAATATTAAAATAGGGAAGGTGATGGACAAGGCCTTCAAGCAGATTTTTTGTTAACCAACAAAACTAAGGATTACAATAGAAAATAATTAAAGTGAAAAATGTATCAAATTCGTTCAACAAATTAAAATGAAATCCGTCAATATCATAGACAGACTATACTGCAGGTTCAGCCTGATCTGGTTTAAGTGTACATTATCCATATCGCTAATGGAACTATAATACTACCAATCGATGACTCAGAATCTGAAAGAGGTATAATAGTTAAAGAAAACAGTCCTTTTTGTCCTATTTTCACTAGTAAGTAATAAATTTTAAAATATAATTAGGCCATTTCACAATTACATTGAAATAATCAGTAATATTTTTTATAACAATTAATTCCAACCTTTCTTTGTCCACGACAATTATTTTATATCAGCTATAATTAGCTATAATACATACCAATGTGTTGGAAAATATTACATTTGAGATTATAGTATTCCTATAATCAGGGATTCATTTTATAACAAAATCACAACTTAGTGTTAAAGATTTCATACTATACAAGATGGCAACGAAACTAGAGATAACATTATAACGAAAGAAGAACTAGAAGAGCTGACGAGAATTCATGTGTCTTGAAAACATGAGGCTAGAGTTTATAGGCCACCACGTGTTGCTGGTTTGCTACGCAATCTTTCTCCGATTTCGTTTATTTCGTCAACAAAATCTTTCTTAACAATCTTATGAATGTTTTACAAAGGAGTGCTTTACTAACACAATTATTTCGTAATTTAATAAACAATATTATAACAAAATTATTTTTGACAATAAACACACCATAACACACAAATACAAAATGTAAAAAAGGTCCAAAATTTCAGATTTTGGTTGTTTAGTTGAGTTTACTCTTTATTATTTTATTATTGGTCAATATTCGACATGTCCAGTCATCTGTTTCCAGACATGCACTTTGTCGAGCAGTTTTGTGATAGCGCGGCCTCACGTGATTGGTCAGATTTTCAAATATCGAAGAGTGGGAGAGACGCTATGATATTTGTAACGACTAAATTCAGTTCCGCTTATGTCTTCACCATGGTAACTCCCGTGTACTCGCGGTTAATATTACATTACGTATTTATTGCACGTGGTCTCTTTACCAGTGTTTTATCTTTCATGTTCCTTTTCAAGGTTTTCTAATTTGGCCTGAAGCTCTTGTGTTTCCTCAGTAACTGAGTTGAGTTGTTGCTTGAGGTCATCATGTTCAACTTTGAGGTTGGTGTACAGTCGCCGCAACTTGTCCAAATCTTTAAGCAGGGTGGTCAATTTACACCTTTTCAAGTTTTTCTAATTTGGCCCGAAGCTCTTGTGTTTCCTCAGTAATTGAGTTGAGGTCGTTAGCGTTCTTGTCACTGTTGATTGTAGGAAGGCCTGGACCCTAGTGTGCCAGAGATTGTAGCGTTTGATAAGAATGGGCTGCGGCTGGTGTTCGGAGTGGAAAGGTTGACGGACGCCCCAACAACCACTGTAGTCCATGTGTCTGCCACCAACCAGATGCAGACACCCTTCACTAAGTTCCTCTTTCAAGCAGCCGTGCCTAAGGGTGAACATGATGACCTCAGGCAACAACTCAACTCAGTTACTGAGGAAACACAAGAGCTTCAGGCCAAATTAGAATAACTTGAAAGGGTGTGAATTGACCCCACCCTGCCTAAATTTTGGATTTTGAATCTCATATGAAGATAGATTTTCACTTAGTTTGGAAGCTGGATGTCGTGCATTGTGTATAAAGCGAAGAACAACGGCGATTACACGGACAAGTTTACTCCAGGAGGAATATTTAGACAAAAAATCTTGGTCAAGTTTACAATGTAAGGAAGTGAAAAGTGTATCGTTATGTATTTATTTTGAGCTCAGGAATTTCTGAGGGATCGATTTCTTTTATTCAGAGTTTAAGGCCAGTTAATCTAGTGAAAATCTAGTTCACATTGATGTGTCACAACGTTATCTTTACATTTATTTTTTTTTATTTATATCCAATATGGTGGATACAAGATAGCAGCCAAAAATGAGTTCCCTATCGAAATGAAGTTATAACCACTATAACTTATAGTTATAGTGGTTATAATAATAATATAGTGGTTATAGTTATAATAAAGTTATAACCACTATATAACCACCCTATAAACATCGGTGGTCGTCCCAAGTCAATATCTCAAAATATTTGCAATACAAAATTCATGTGGTATATATTTTTTTTCAAATTTGTCTAACGTTGGGTTAGCCGCCATTTTTAATCGTGACTTTAGGTGGTTTCCTGTGGACCGATTTTTGGCAACTTTTAGTATGTCACTCTGCAGACCCAAAACTACAAATAAAAACCATAAAACAATTCTTGCAATTCTTGCAGTTCTTGCAATTTTTTTTAACGTTCCCTGTATCAGTTTTTTTTAGTTTGCTTGGACTACATAGTGTTAAAAAGATTATGCAACTTAAGCTTGTTAAAGGATTTAATTGTAATAAAAAAGGTGTAAGTGTATCGAAAGACCAAACCAGAAGTAAGAGATTTCATAACAATGGAGATTGGGTTATCTTAAACCTTCATGAATCTTTCTGCCCTAATAACTAGTCATCCGAGTTTAGACAGGTAATCTCTGTCCACGTCATAGTCAATGAATGCTGTTTCTGTCAACATCTGGAACATTTTGTTTCACTACTTCTTCCAGGTTTGATAAGCAATTTTTAACTAGTTTGCAATTTATAGCATGCCTAAGTAATGGAGAAAAGTTGAAAAAACTAACCAACAATCGAAACATAATAACTAAACATGGTAACCAATTACTAAACAATCTACAATTGTGGCTATTTTTGTTTTTGAATTTAAATAAATACATTTTATATTATTATCAATTATAAAAGTTAAAACCAATGCCATACAATATTATGTTAAATTATTAAAATATATTAAGTTTTAAATTTATTACAAACTCTCCTTGATTGTAACGTTCCAAGGTTTTAATTTTCCAACTTAAAATAATAGGCCTAGTTCAGTTATATCTCAATGTATGCAATAACAATACGATGAAGCAGTAACGCATTCAATCTCTATACTTACATAGTCCATGAAAAGATAATTAGTGATTTAAGCCTATTTTTATACCTATGTTTTTTTTTATTTTCTTTCAATATTTCATAGGTATAGCATGTAAACTACAATCTTTTGGTGTTTTCATCGATCAATGGCGATTTTGCTAAGAATCTTTACAACCTTAAGTCATATAAAGACATGTTCAACAACTTAAATGAGAGTCAATTAGCCTATCTAAACATGTGTCACACAACTTACGTTTTGTTCAAGATTTTATCAAGCCGAAATATATATGGGTCAAAATGCCAAATGGTAAGGGTCTAAGACACACATGCATGCAATAATCACCTAGATGAAGCATGCAATTGTAATGGCGACGTCTACAGCTAAGACACAAGGCCAACTGAACATCCTTGCATGATACATGCTATACATCTTCCAGCATAGCATACATGTATATATATCTTTCGTGTCTGCGTCTATATTAGCCTTCTCGAATTGGACGTTAACTAAATAATTCTATAAAGGAATTGAGATAATGAAATATAACTACCGTTAGTGTGAACATATCTTATTTTATCAATAAAAAATACGTTTTAAATAAAATACATAATATAGTTTCTGACCAAATTTGCTTTAAAATTTCAATTGTGACCAAAAAATTCAAAAACTTAAGGCAATTAATTTTATGGTACTAGTGCTTTAACTAAATTAATTACACTTCAAACAATTACTCTAGGTTAACTAAGGTTATTTAGTTTTGCATTAAATGTCACAACATGTGTTTTACACAATGTAACTAAAAGGAGACTCTAATCGGAAACATAACAAATCTATGAAAATTGCTTTAAAATATTGGTACACAAGGTTTCCTGCCAAAAATCCAAGCTAACTTGGTAGAAATGGTAAATTTAGAAACCTCTACTAATTATTAGACCATCTGTCAGCAGAGTTGGAGCAGTTGTCGGCGTTGTTTAGTTAACTAGGGTCGAAAGCAAGCACAACACTGTTCTAATATTCTCATCGATGGCTTGAAATGCTCCTTTCGTCCACTGCCAGTCATTATTCTTAGAGCTTTCTTTTGTAGCTTAAGGCATTATGGAGACTGTAAGTAACGTGGCTATGGAATAAAGCGTGGTATACCACAACTAGCTGATAAGGTTATAATGTATGCGTTAAGCATGATACTGGGATCTACAATAGAGAGAAAATAATTCAAAACTAAAACTTGTCAGAAACAAAAAAAAATCATATTTAGCTGATTTAACTTATGGATACACAAATATAGTGTTATTACATTCTGAAATATTCTGGTTAAAAAAGTTCTGAATTTAACATTTTGAAACAACTAATGAGGAAACAGGAATTGTGCAAAAGTACAATATTATAAATATTTATTTTTTAACACATAGGTCTACTTTAATTATACTTAAAACTGGCATTTTGCTACTCGATTTTTCTAATGTATAACCTGCTGGGGACACATTTCTAGTTTTAATTTTAAAACTCAAATTATAATTTTAACTTCAAATAAGCAAGCAATGTTATTAGCTTGTGTGTGTGGAAACTTGTGAGGAAAACTCCTAGTGCCAAATTTAAGAAATGTACTAAAGATAGTACAGAAACTAGGTTTTCTAAACAAACATAACGAATACATTAAAAATCTGATATGCAAAAAATCTTTTTCCTACAGTCAC